TGATTTTGTGAACATTGATCATTTCTGTGCGCTCCTTTAAGTTATCTCCTCATTTCTCTCTTGTTCGTAGTTCGTGTAATGATTGGTGAACAAACAACTAGTCATTAAACTGTTACTAGGATAAACATTTATAATTGGTAACGTTCCTACCAAGCATACGTTAGTTTGTCACTATACCCAACAGATTCATGGAACAGTCACAGTTTGTGTTTCCCTTATAGACACTTGTTGGCGGGTAAAACATGTACTTGGCATAAAGAGTTTGTTTGTGTTTAGGCACACACTACTTCACAAAAGACAACTTTATTCTCTAGGCTGTATGTTGTTTTCTATTTAACTTTTATGATCTTGTTTCTACAATTTTTTGAAACGCCCTCAGACTTCCCGCAAACATACCACACCTAGTAGTTTTTATCCTGTTGTCACGCTGAACTGCCTTGTGTGCCCTGAGGAATTTCTATGGAACCTGACTGAAAGGTTTTAGCTTTTCGGACTTGGAAATAGCCTGGTTAAACATGGAAAAAATAAGTTCTTTTGTGGGTATTGGTAAAGATATCTTACATAAAAATAAATGACAAAATATATATGAAATTCCATGCAAAATATATAAAAACCGTACATGGCATTCAATTAATTGAAATGCATTCAAAATTTTTGCGGAACCAAAATTGTATTAGCAACGGAATATTCGCGAATCTATTGAAAATGAAAAAGAAGGGGGGTATGAATAATATTATGTATAACAATAACGGATCAGGTTTCCATGGTGTTTGAAGACCATTCTCCCACATCCCAAATTTAAGACAATTAAAGAAATGTCTGCTTGTTTATAAATAACTGCAAAACAATAAATATATTAGAACCGTATTATCTTGGTGGTAACTGGCTAGTAGCACTCGCAACTTGTAGAGGTTTTGTGTTTCACTATTGTACGTTTTAATATTTATTTTTGAATATTTATTCATGCTTATAATGTTGTAAGTATGTGGATTTTTAGTACATTAGGTTGTTTATAAGAACTGAACATTTTAAAGAAAAATATTAAAACTGAAAAAAAGTAGACCAGTAAACTTCTTTCAATAAATTGGGTTTGAGTGCCATACTTTGTAATATTTTACCTCATGTGCTAACTGCCACAGTTGTAAGGAATTGCGCTGCATTACACGCTATTTTCTAGAATCTTCTCCACTCCATTGAGCTTAACTGCTTTCTTCGTGGTTATAGCAGCTATAGCAGTGTCCTGAGGCTGTCACCTTGGTAGGTATTGTCAGTTAATAGAATAAGTCTTGGTCTCGCTGTCTTTGTTCCTTCCTGTGTGAGTCATTACTTCGCGATAAGCCAGGTGGGTCTAGGTACGACTTTAGTATTCTCCGTCTGTAGAATAAAATTTAATCGGTCATGCTATTTGAATACCACCTTTATCACCATGTATGAGAGATCGCTTGATTTGTTTTCTAGTTATTTATTGATTATGTAAACTTCTTTAAGGATGCCTGTCCATCATAGGGGGGAAGGGGATAGCTTGTTTAGTTCTTCAACTGGCCCTTGGGGGGGGGGGTAGCTTGTTTAGTTCTTCAGCCAGCTCTGGGAGGTAGCTTGTTTACTTCTCCAGTCGGCTCTAGGGTTGTAGCTTGTTTAGTTCTTCAGCCGGTTGGTTATGATATTTAGTTTTGTGAGTTATTTTCTGTAGGCTTACTACAGCATTTTTCTGTGAACATATTAATGGTCCATATCTCCCTGGCCCGACATGGCCAGGTGGTTAGGGTGCTCGACTCGCAATCTGCGGGTCGCGGGTTCGAATCCCCGTCACACCAAACATGCTCGCCCTTTCAGCCGTGGGGGCGTTATAACGTGACGGTCAATCCCACTATTCGTTGGTAAAAGAGTAGCCCAAGAGTTGGCGGTGGGTGGTGATGACTAGCTGCCTTCCCTCTAGTCTTACACTGCTAAATTGGGACGCCTAGCGCAGATAGCCCTCGTGTAGCTTTGCGCGAAATTCAAAAATAAACAAACCAAACCATATCTCCCTGCAGCTTATAGGTACAGCCCAACTATAACGAATCCAGCGGTGTCGCAGTTACAAACTGTGTATGAAACTACTACACATTTTAACAAGGCTGCAGAAAATTACGCTGTTACATACCCATAAACAACGACAGAATCGCATAATAACAATACATTATAAAGGCAAAGCATTTCCAGAAACATCCATCGCTTTTTTCACAAGACTTAAAATATTTTGAGGGTAAGTTATAGTACAAAATATTATTAAGTAGTAGTAGTAGTACTCACTAAGATATTATAGAATACATTTATTCACATACCATCGAATAGAAAAAACATCCATAATTCAGAACTGTTGACCAGAAGGAGAGCAACCAGTCAGCAGCACCACAATCTATACAACTACTTTTAACTTAATATCGGAATTGACTGTGTTATAGACCACTTCTGACACCTCTTTGTTGTAATCGTGCTATAGTCGCACTTTGCCTTCCCCCCAACTTTATTAAAGTTGATCTTATTGCTATCAGGAAGTGACACATGCTAATATGCATAAAAAATTGCTATTTATTACTATATTCAATAAATTAAGGTTCATTTCTTACTGACAGGATTTTGCTTTCTTTCTTCGCCTCTCTCGATTTATTCGCTCTCTCTCTCTCACACGTTCTGGCCTTAATTTTTTCTCTGTTAAACACCTTTCATATCACTTTCTCAAAAACCACACCGAACACATCTGTTATATCGGATTATAATGTTTCATAATCATGGGGGGTTCTGTAATCTCCACAACGGCTAAAGAAAGGTGGTCAATCTCTCCAATAATTTTCTAATGACTTATAATGTTGTAAGTCCTTTATCCCTTAGTTACTGATCAAAAGCCGGCCGCTTTCTCATCTCTCTCAACTCAACTGATGTTCCTTACACCGAACTTCATAACAGACTGTCACAGTTATAATTACCTCAGAGTTGAAATTGAGAAGCATGTTCAACAGTGTATGGCAACTCGAACCAATGACTTTCTGATCCACAGCTCGTCATGCTAACTAATAGGACACGCTCAACCCAGTTATTTTTAAGACAGAATACCCTGAAAACAAAAATGATGACGGCAAAAACTGTTATCTCCACGGTTACTAAACGTCTGAGAGTGTGTTACTTATGCTTTTCTTGTTTAATTTTCCAATTTATTACTTGTGCACACCTCTTTTATAACGAATTATTTACAAGTTATAGTTAATTTAGTTTGTTTTGTTTTTAAGAGCAAACCTACACAAAGTGCTATCTGTGCTCTGCCCACCACGAGTATCAAAACCAGGTTTTTAGCGGTGCGAGCACTCAGAATTACCGCTGAGCCACAGGGGGCGAGAGTTGCTGTAGTTAAACTTTAACGTTTGCAAAATTACATTAATACTAATGCTCACTAATACAAAGATAAAAAGAGCTTGTCTTCCATCTGTAATATATTTAAGAAAAGACGCTTCCCATAGTTTACGATTTGAGAGATTACGCGGGAAAAGAATGCAGTGTCAATCTAACGTGTCTTGGTTGCTATGAGATGCCACCTGGCAAGATAAACAAATATTATTTACGATATTTTTCTAGCAACCTTTTGTATCGTGTGTAACGATTCTTTCACAAATGATGTTGTTCACTAATACAGGGTCTTCTAAAGAAAAATTATAACAAGTATAATGATAATAATAATAAAACAAAATATTGTAGGTCTATGACATTTGTGTGAATGAGCCTTTATATAATTGGGTTTAACAATTTACGGCGCAACTTACTGAAACACTTATTTGTGTGGATGAAATTCTGACAAAAAGTGGAGTATAATCCAAAAAAGTGTCTTTAGATTTTGAACCATGTACTGCTTCATAGAGAAATACACTGGGCACTTACTAGTTCATAAGCATACTTAATGTGTACACAGCTGCAGAGCGTACTACACCTGTACATTCTTTTAAAGTTATGGAATTTGTAGGGCACTTTTTCCTTTAACTTCCGGCACGGAAGTTTGTTTACCATGGCTGGATTCTAAAATATATTGTGTGGTTAATTCTTCCTTGTTTATATCAGGCTCATGTTGTTAGTGCACAATTAAAAACACCTATAATTTTCATGGCAATTATAATATTTTCGTGACTCTTCCCAATTAGGACCAAAAAAATTAATAAACACTCTAGCCAGTCTTTCAAGGACAACGTGTACATTTCTAACCACGTGTTCTTGAATCATTACGTACAGGTTATAACAAGTTACTAACATGTGGCAAGCTGGGGAAGAGGAGGATAGCAAAAGTAATAGAACGCCATCTGTAGTATTATTACTAACTTCACTTTACGAAATAGCCTATCTTTGTCAATAGATGCCACAGGCTTGTCTTTCGATTGGACACATCAACACAAACTTAGTCCTACGAAATACTGAGGAAACCATGTTAAATACATCATACTTTAATATATTCACCCAGTTAAAATAAGCATTCGCCTTTACTTCATTCTGACATTTGTTTAACGCACTCTTTCAGTCTATTCCGATATCTACGTCATTATTTTGATAAAGGTTCTCAAATTGTGGTCCTCGAGATACCAGTCATTATACCACAAGATACTGCTTGTAAAAATGAGTTATAATTGCAATTTGGTAGTGGTCTTGGCAGAATAAGAACTTTAGAAACGGGTGTGGGATCGGGAAGAGTTTGGAAACCGCTGATTTTGACAATGTATATTTATTAAATAATTTTACCAGTGTTACCAACCTACGAAATATGCATTTGAGAGATGTTCGTTCGCATCAACTATGTGCTTTAATTAATTTACTTTTTAGTTACGATCCCTCTCTGTGGTTATTAATGATCATCAATTCACATGATCAACACTGCTCAAAAGATTAAACGGGACAAAGATTGGGAAATATATTATAAAGTTACGTATGACTATTGTTATAAGTTGGTAAAGAAAGAAGGGTTAGATTATTGTATTTGAAAAATAAATTCCACTTGACAAACACATAATGAAGCATATTTTATTTAAAGAGATATTACTTGCACTTCTTTTTTTCTTCTAACTGATCGGAATAACAAGTGTTTAAATTATTCTGGTAAGATGGCAGTGTTTTAGGAAGAACATTTTCATTACTGGGGCTTTTTAGATTTCACCCAAGCCTTGAATCCTTGGAGAGGTTCATCGTTCATGGCTTTATAGTCAGGTATTTC